TAAAATTTGGGGTCAAATTGAGGTTAAATTAAATTAAGGATGAAATTGGAGCATATTAAAGTATGATGGGCTATTTTTGTCTTTTACAAAAATCTGGATCATGTGTGGACTTATTTGTAAAGGAGTTTTTTGTCTGGATCTCTTTATGAATAAGTACTCATTGATGGGCTTATTTGTAAAGACCCCTAGAATAAAAGATCCCATTGTACTTTTCTAGTTAAGATATAACAAAAATAAAATAATAAAAATATTTATGAAATATAAGAATCTATTAATTGCAAAATCCCGGGGGTATTTGTGTCTTTTTATATTAAGTCAACACTTAAATGAATAATAGGCCAAGTGTACTATTTAAATAATTTCATAGGGGGTTTTTGCTAGTTTACTTATCACAAGAGGGATTTTGCTATTTACTAATTACACAGGGGTACCTTTTGCAGTTTACTCAAAATTAGACGATCTGCCAAAGAAAAAAAAAAAACAGATTTTGTATTATCTCTAGAATTCTCTTTACTATTTCACATAGGACATCATAGGAAGTTTGGGGCTGGAAAAGAGTGCCGAGAGCGGCCCAAGAACAATTATTAGGGGTAATGGCAAATAGGCCCATGACAAGGGCACTTAATTAAATAAGGGACATCCAACTTTTTTGTTTCTCAAATAAACCCACCCCATTCAAACTTATTTGCAAATAAGGAAAATCCCTTTATATATACCAAAATTACCCCCAATTCATTGAAACCCAATTCAACTCCAATTTCAAGATTTACACCCAAATTTAGCCCAATTTCATCAATTAACCAATTTTAACCCTAATTTCAATTTTGACCCCAATTTTAACCCTAATTCTTATCAATTCCACCCATTATGCTCTAACTTCTTAAATATTACACATTGACCCCGGATTTAAACAAATATATCACATTAACCCCCAAAACTTTTTTTTTTCAGAAAATAAATTTTTTTTCTGAAATATTTTTTTCCGGCCAGATTCCGGCGTTGACCGCCGGAAACCGCCGGTCTCCGGCGTAGACTTTTTTTTTTTTTTTTTTTTTTTTTTTTTTCAAAATTAGAAATTCCCGTTTCCCCAAATTTTTTCCGGCCGGGCAACAGCCGTTGACCCCCGGGGCCCCCGGGGAAGACATTTTTTTTTTTTTTCGTATAAAAAAAATTGGGTTTTTCCAAAAAAAAAATTTTTTATTAAATTTACGGGCCAGGCCGCAAAAATTTTGTCCCCGGGGCTTATTTTGTTGGCGGAAAAAGGAATTAAACC